GTGACTGATATATTTTCCAGTCGGCCTTTGTATCATTCCATTTGGATGAGGGGTTAATAAATCGATTAGGTGCTAAGTTTGTTTGTAATTCTATTAAAATAGGAAAGTGGTCGGAACCCATTGTGTCTTTCAAAACTTCCCATGTAACTTTATTAGCGATAAAAGGTGATGTGATAGATATATCAACTGCAGATTTGAATTGGTTTGGGGGTGTTATTCTTGTGGGATTGCCATCATTTAATACTACCATGTCAAAATCATCTATAACATCAGCCAAAATTTTACCCTGTTGAGTGTCAGGGTGCGGGCTTCACAGACTAAAATGAGCATTGAAATCGCCGCAAAAAATACTAGACTGGGTAAATTGGTTAAAAAGATTCTTCCAGTCTTCGCTAGAAGCATTAGTGTCAGGTCATTTATATATCGATACAAGGGTAATACCTGCATTATCTAATTCTATGGCACATGTTTCGATATCTGAATTTAGTAGTGTATTATTAATACTTATTATTTTATAATTTAAGCCTGTGGCTATAAAAATTCCTACTCCGCCATATCCATCATCTCTTAGTTTTTTTACAAAATTAAAACCTTTTAAAGAAAAATTACTTTATTTCGGATAAAATAAGTATATCTATTTTATTGTTACTAAAATAATTTTGCAAGTTTCCTTTCCTAGCTGAAAGGGATCGCACATTCCATTGAATAATTTTAATAATATTCTTCATCACTGATTGATATACATTCCATACCTACATCTTCTTTAGAAGTTAAAATTGTAACAAGTTGTTCTTTGATTTTATTTTCATCAATTGTATTTGGTTCTTTTAAAATTTTAAAAATAAATGAAGACATTTGAGAGATTATTTGATTTTGATGTACTATAATATCCTTAACACAAGGGGAATATGAGAGGGGTGGGCGACGTTTTGGGGTTTGAGACGCCGGAGGCAGTACTGAAGGCCTGCTAGACGTTGACGGGGAAGTAGGTGGAGTAATATGTTTTTTTTTTCCTAATTTGTGACTCATTTTTACTTTCCTATCTGTATACAGATATAAGGAAAGTATAGGAATCATGATTTTTTTCGACCTCGAGTTTTCGACGGATTTTTACGTTTTAAGGTCCCCTGAATCCGTTTTGACTATTTTCGCGATGATGTCTGTCTGTCTGTCTGTCTGTCTGTGTGTGTGTCTGTGTGTGTGTGTGTGTGTGTGTGTGTGTGTGTGTGTGTGTGTGTGTGTGTGTGTGTGTGTGTGTGTGTGTGTGTGTGTGTGTGTGTGTGTGTGTGTGTGTGTGTGTGTCTGTATAACGCATAACTCATGAACCGATACACAGAAAAACACCAAATTTCAAACTTAAGCTTTATTCCAGCGTCTAATGAGCTGATTAGATTTTGGGCAGAGTCGGAACATCTGGGGGGGTACTTTATGGGTGGTCATTTTTATATTTTATGGAATATATCTGTTATTTACGTTTGGAGAAGAAAATTTTTTAAATAAAAGTTACTTCTTATATTATTATCTATAATTTTTGTTATTTACAAAATTTTCCTAAAATGGTCCGTATTCGAGAAATTTGACAAAATGTAAAAAAATATTTTTTTTTATAAAAATTGTTCAAACAAAAGTTGTGTGTAATATAATTCTCTATAATTTTTGTCCCATAGATAATTTCTCTAAAATGGACCGTATTCGAGATATTTGAGAAAATGTGTAAATTTCGAAATTTGAAGAAAACTCAAAAACGGATAAAGAAAAAATCAATAAATTTTAAACTTAAGTTTTATTTCGGCCTGACGTGAAATGATTAGATTTTGGATAAAGTCGGAACATCTGGGGGGTACTTTATGGGAGGCCGTTTATATATTTTATGGAATATATCTGTTATTTATGTTTGGAGAAGAAAATTGTTCAAATAAAAGTTACTTCTAATATTATTATCTATAATTTTTGCCTAATGTAAAAATTTCCTGAAATGGTCCGTATTCGAGAAATTTGACAAAATGTGCAAAATTCTGATTTTTATGAAAATTGTTGAAATAAAAGTTGTTTGCGATATCGATCTCTATAATATTTGTTCATACATGATTTTTTTTAAATGGACCGTAATGGAAAAATTGTAGGAAAAGTGCTAAATTTAAATTTTTCAGTATTTTCATTTTCAATGAATATCTATAGAAAAATGTTTCGCGGTAGATGTATGTGGACAATGTATATATTTAGTTTATCCTCTAAACATTTATAGAGATGCTGCAATAGGTTGTACACAATAAACGGAAAAAGCCTGTAATAACTAGATAGGAAAGTCATGTGTTGGCCACATCAGATTTTTTTGATAAATAGGACTAGCTTTGGGTATTTTTTAAATAAAAATGAGCTTTGAGAATTACTTTGAGAGGGTGGAGCAAGTTCAGGAAAATTTTCTAAATTTTTTAGTACATCGAACCTATTATTAGTAGAAATTTTTGCGTATGATGGATTTTTTACAACAAATTCTGCTTCTTTAAAGGAAATATTTTCAAAGGCCATAGTTTTTTTAATATTTTGTTGTTTAATATAGATGGAACATTCTTTAGATACTGACGGATGTTCAGTACTATTACAGTGAATACAAAATTTTTCGCATTCTTCATCATTATTATGTTCGTTTCCACACGTTTTACATCGCGGTTTTCCTCTGCATTGAACAGAGGTGTGGCCATAGCGCAAACACTTGAAGCATTGTATTCAGGCTAGGGGATCTTTAATAGGGAAATGCTTACTCGTGTTGTAGTACTGTGCACCACCCATAGATGGCGCTACTTACACAAAGTTTGCTCGTTGCATTCGTCGAGCAGATTCAGAGTGTATTCAGAGCAGGTTCAGAGTAACGCAAGTGTACGCAAGTTGTTATTTAAAACTTTCAACAGCTAAAAAAACGCTATTAAAATGGCAATAATGGTAATGTTTTATTAGGTTAGTTTTTCGAAGATAATTTTTAAAGCTTTAAACATATATAATTATGGTGCGAATTCGTCCTTGTGCTGATCCAGATTGTCAGGATAAAGTTAGTCGCAGGTAAGGAATACATTTACAATTTTATTTCTTTGTAAGTAAAAACTTCTTTTTGTATTTTATTCTTAAATACTTGGCCAAATTTTAAGAGCATATATTATTACTTAAAAGTACCCAATTTGTGAAATAAATTTCCAAAATAATGCGGGTAACCTAATGTTTTCTAGGAAAAATTAAAAATCTTAACCTAACTTTTATCATTTTCTATACAATTTCAGTAACTAGATAAAATATGTGAATATTAAGAAGATTGAAATAAATAGTGTTATTAATATTTTTTTAGAATTATACAATATGTAATGGATACTTTATAGTAGATACCTATATACAATTTTTTTTCCGAATTCAAAATGAGGTACTTTTCAAACATACCAATAATTGTATATTTTATATTGTGCGACTCTTATTATTTTTTGCTCCATATACTGTGACCTACCTCACCTAGGTATCTTCACAATTTATTGATTCCAATTAATAAAAGTTGCATTCTTACTAAATTCAAATTGCTTCATTTTATTGAAAAATCTTCTACGATATATTTTTAAGAAATGCCGATTCATTCTCACTAACTAATAAATTAATAGCTCAGCTGAATTGACTCAAAACAAAAATAATAAAATTGAACTTTATATTTTTTAACAGATACTCTTCTTCATTTTTTACATGAAAACGAATCAGCAAACACTGCAATAGGAAGTGACAAGTACACCCAACAGCAGCCAGAGCCAACTTTCCCCAGGAACTTTCGTTACAACTTCTACTGGATACAACCATGGGTGAACTTCGCAATAGTTTTATATTCATATTTCTTTATTATTGTGTACTGTAATAAGAATTCGTGCAATTTTAATTCTAATAATAAAAAATATATGGTTATAATCGTGTTTTACTTCATAATAAGATGTATTTTTTGTTCCATAAATCCAAAATTATAATTTTTCGTTTTCTTTTTAACTTAAAATATTTCAAATTTTATCTATCACAGAACATAACCCAATGGATTATATCCATCTAAGTATGTTGAGTGAAGAATAAAATGTTTGAATCATTTTAAGTAAAAAAGAACGAAAAATTATAATTTTGAAAACTTAGTAGTGGTTTATTAGAAAGGCCGAGTTTGAAAAACCCGCGCTCATTGACCCCTACCGCCATCTATATAATAAATCTTGAACAAATTTTCAATTATTAGTTATCTTCTTTTTTTTTAACTCAACTATTTGCAACCGCTACGGATGGCGCTGAAAGATGAGTAAAATTTTTCACTGTTGAGTGGCCCATCTTTAAAGGGTATGGTCTGTGATTGTATTACGGGATGAACATAAGGGTCGACCGTAAATCTAACTAAATTAATTTTAAGTGTATCCGGAATTTTATTGCCCAGAAATGTGACAATTACCATTTGTCTATCGACAAAAGATACTTGCTTAGTTTCGGGATCCGTAGCTCTTCTTTTCATACGTTTGACTTCAACTATCGGTATTTCAGAAATAATTTATTTTTTCAAAAACTCTTCACTGAAAAAGGTATCAACCATCCGGATAATACCCTTTTTCTGTGTGTAAAACTTTGGAATAAAGGCAACTAAATTTTTTTTTCCTAATCTCATGGTCAACTAATGAGTTAGCAATATCAAATGATTTAAATTCCACCTTTACGCGTTTTAAGCCTATAGATTTAATATTTAATATATCATTCTTAAAAGAGGGACATTCTTGCAAAAAATACCTCACTTTCATAGGAAAAAGTCTTCCCAAATTATTATCAATGTGTTCCATATAAACCAAATAAGGGCCTGAATTCGTAGATTAGTATCTATTGGTAAAATCATAAATATTTTGCGTTTGTGATAATTTTTTCTTCTTCTACGAGAGTGGTAGTAGTACTTGTGGGCGGCCCCGAAGGGTCGCCCTCTTCACTAATCATAATAACAGAATAAACTTACCGAAATGTTGTTCTGTTCAGAATAAAATTTAATTTAATACTTATACCTATCACTTATCAATTATCAAGAGAAACAAAAAGTTCGCACTTTTATTTATCGCACTATACCCGCAAAAACGATCCGTACCGTACCAGATATAGAACAATACTGCATCTAATCAATCAATAAATAATAGTAAAATTAATTATAATTCGAAAATTGTTGTTGAAGTCTTACTTTCTCATAAGACACTGTACAAACACACATATTTAAAAAAAAATTCTCAAAAATTTGCACGGTAAGGTATAGTTAAAAGTTCACTATTAGATAAGTAAGGACATCTACTATTAGAAAAAAATTAATTTTAGTCATAATCTAATATTTTTTATTTAACATTGGTGGCGAAAGGACCTCCTTAAGGACGAGCGACGCCTAACACATTATTAAAGGGTTCAACCCCAACAGTAAGTCTACATTTTAACTGCCTATTGTACAACCCGCCATATGTACAATTAAAAATTAATTGTATTTCTTTAAAATGCATTTGATTCTGTTGATCAAAACCATTCGATGAAAAAATTAAAAAGTATTGGTATAAAGGTGGTTTTTTATATCTATGCTATAAAGCATGCATTGGAGTAGCATGTATCTAAGTATCAGGTCAGAGAGAATAAAATTAAATAACATATGTAGTGGGAATCTCATCTTTCAGTACGTCTCCTATCGAGACTCCTATCTTTGTTGGACAGACAGCGATTTTAATATAATGTCTCTCTCTATTCTGTATGTAATGTGTCGAGTTCGCACAAAAGAATCGCTGTCCTGATCAGAAGAAATTAACCACATCAAAGGAAGAAAATTAGGTCTCCTGTTATTTTTAATTTATATTAATGATTGTTGATGTCGCAACAATCAATATGACATTTACCTGTTTGCCTATGATGTCCTTATCTATGTTTCCTGTAAGTTGTAAGGATTCAGATAACTTAGTAAGAGTTAATTGTCAATGAAACTATGCAAAATGTTTATAAATGATGTTGCAATCATTTGTTAAAAATCAACACAAATACCTAAAACAAAATATAAGCTGATAAATAATAACTATATGCAGTTTGTAGACAAACAATATAGGAAATTGGAAGAAAATCTATACATTTAGTAGAAAAATTCAAATATTTAAGGGTAATTATTCGGAAACAGATGAAATTCACAGACCATATGCAAATACTGTTATCAAAACAATTGCAGTTAAATTACATTTCCTATTTAGAATGTTTTTAAAATAATTGTTATATTATTACATTATTTTTTACTAAATTTGAATATTGTGATATTAGCAAACCAGCCAAATAAAGAAAATAAAAATAAAATAAAAACTGAAAACATACCTGGATCTACAATAATATATATAAATAATATAAGTATATTGCATCTTTTAAATTATTAAAGTCCATTAAATTGAAATGACACGTCAAACCATAAACGTCAAACTTTCAAAACAAACATGCTTGTGTTGTGTTTCAAACAGAAAATAGCATTTATAGAATAATTTATTTACTTGCAACCTTTCCCCGCACACCACCTTGCCCCTCACCCAGAAACATGGTCAAATTGGGCTAAGCCATTTTACATTCATTTGCATAGGGAGCGATGTTGCAATTTTTCAATTTATTGTCTATTCTATTCATCGCAGTATGTTTGGGTTACATCCCCATCGTTTACCTGCAATGTTTCTGCATACCATTAGGGATTTTGTGTGCAAAATTATCAATTTTTCAGGAGAGACGAAAAACAAATATTAGAATATTTTTACTATCAAATTTGGATACATGAATCACTTTTTAAAGTAAAAATGTCATAATTTGGACTTACGTCATTGTTTTACAGAAACAGCGATATTGCTATGAGAAAATCTCTGAAAAACTCATAGCAGAGCCATGCGGCCGTGCATGGTGCTCGAACTCACGACTTTCCGAATTCGAGGTGTATTTGAATTATCCAACATACTACTTAAATACTTAGTAAACGCGTATGAGATTGAAGTGTAGTGCCAGAGACAACAGAGACGTGTAACTTTGTTCGTTAGTCCATTTGAATTAAATATATGAGTTTCTTTCTCTATTACATTGATCTGAGCATATATTTATCTCTCTTCAATAAAACTACAACCAGTGTAAGAGGTCGCTGATGTTGCTGGTTTTTTGTCGTTGTCGACATGTGGCGTATAGATTAGAACTGACAACAGGAGTGCGAAACCTCGCACGGCACGTCTGAACCCTATTCTAATGTATGTGGTCAACGCGTCGTCCGAGGTTTCTAAACGCACTCTTGCTAATGTTATAAATGTGGTTATGAACAATAAGGTATTTTTCTCATCATAAACGGATTATGTTGTTCGATCATGTTCGTCTATCCCCCACCACATATAGTATATGTAATTTTAAAAATCGTTCAGTACCTGTAAAATTTGTTGTAGATTTTAATTCTGAACCGTTGCTGGGTCTAGATGACTGTTTAAAGTTGTCCTTAATAAAACGTGTAAACTGTTTGCAAATTCCAAAAACGAAAAATAAAGTCTACTTGCAAAATAAAGACGTTTTTCATGGTTTAGGTAACATTCCAGGTTTATGTAATATAGAACTACAGGAAAATGCAACACCAGTGGTTTAGTGTCCAAGAAAAATTCCTTTTTCATTACACGATACCTTAAAGAAAACTCTAGATTCATTAGCAGAAAAAAACATTATTGAAAAGGTCAATTATCCAGTTAGGTTAATAGTCTTATGATTGCAGAAAAACCAAATAAGTCCTTACGACTTTGCATATAACCAAAACCGCTAAATAAATACAATAAAAGAGAACACTTTCAGATTCCTACTAGTACATACATAATAGGTAAGCTATCAGGCAAAAGTATATTTACTGTATAGACATGAAGGATGGATTTTGGCAGTTATCCTTAAATAAAAAAGCTCTGACCTTTGCGTCTTTAATACACCATTTGGACGATACAAATTTAATAGATTACCTTTTGGAATATCAAGTGCTCCCGAGTTATTCCAAAAGAAAAATTATGAAATATTTGGTGAAATCAGTGTCTACTTTGATGATATTATAATTGCTACTGATACTGTGTTAGAACATGATAAAGCGCTAGGTAATGTTTTTGAAAAAGCTAGAGAAACTAAAGTTAAATTTAATTATAACAAATTTTAATATAAGCTTCCTCAAGTTAAATTTATGGGATATCTAATTTCAATCAATAAAGTTAAACCTGATAAAGACAATATAGAAGCAATAAATGCTATAGAAACACCTATAAACAAATCTGAAATTTTGAGAATTCTAGGTCTTGCTAAATTTTTTTCAAAATTTTTATCAAATCTTTCAGCTTTGACAGCTAATTTAAGAAACTTAACGAGAAAAGAAGTAAAATTTGAATGGACAGAGGATCATAATAATGAGTTAACTAACTTAAAACATGTTATAACAAATTCACCTACTTTAAAAATATTTATTCCTAAGTTAGAATTGACAATACAGTGCGATGCCTCAAGTGAAGGTTTAGGCTGTGTTTTATTACAGGCAGGATACCCAGTGTCATTTGCATCTAGAACATTAACAAAATCTGAAAAACGTTATGCTCAAATTGAGAAGGAATTATTAGCCATTTGTTTTGCATTCGAAAAATTTCACTACTTTGTCTATGGACATCCCGTAACAGTTCAAAGTGATCATAAGCCTTTAATTCCTATTTTTGCTAGAGATTTGGACAAGATTAGTAATAGATTGCAAAGAATGATGTTAAAATTATTAAAATACGAAATTAATATTATTTACTTACCTGGAAAAGATATGCTAGTTGCTGATATTTTATCACGTTCATACATAAAAACAGAAGTTAATGATGACCCCGAAATGGAGTATATTATACATACCCTTTATAACAATATTCCGATGTCTGATGAAAAAAAAAACCTTGTTTAAAAAAGCTATAAATAATGATGATGTTTTATCACAGGTTAAACATTTCTGTCTAACATCATGGCCTAAAAACAAAATCAAGGGTGATTTGAAACATTATTTTAAATTAAGTGAAAACATTTATTTATCTAATGATCTCTTATTCTTAGACACAAAAATTATAGTTCCAAAGTCTTTAAGACTTCAAATGCTTTCCCTAATTCATGAGCTACATTTCGGTATTCAAAAATCCAAGTCCAGAGCCCGACAAGTTTTTTACTGGCCCAACATATCAAAAGACATTGAAGACTTTGTTTCAAAATGTGAAACTTGCCAAATACACCAAAAATCAAATCAAAAAGAAACCTTAAATTGTCATGTCATACCAAAATTAAGTGAAAACATTTATTTATCTAATGATCTCTTATTCTTAGACACAAAAATTATAGTTCCAAAGTCTTTAAGACTTCAAATGCTTTCCCTAATTCATGAGCTACATTTCGGTATTCAAAAATCCAAGTCCAGAGCCCGACAAGTTTTTTACTGGCCCAACATATCAAAAGACATTGAAGACTTTGTTTCAAAATGTGAAACTTGCCAAATACACCAAAAATCAAATCGAAAAGAAACCTTAAATTGTCATGTCATACCAAAACTAAGTGAAAACATTTATTTATCTAATGATCTCTTATTCTTAGACACAAAAATTATAGTTCCAAAGTCTTTAAGACTTCAAATGCTTTCCCTAATTCATGAGCTACATTTCGGTATTCAAAAATCCAAGTCCATAGCCCGACAAGTTTTTTACTGGCCCAACATATCAAAAGACATTGAAGACTTTGTTTCAAAATGTGAAACTTGCCAAATACACCAAAAATCAAATCGAAAAGAAACCTTAAATTGTCATGTCATACCAAAATTAAGTGAAAACATTTATTTATCTAATGATCTCTTATTCTTAGACACAAAAATTATAGATCCAAAGTCTTTAAGACTTCAAATGCTTTCCCTAATTCATGAGCTACATTTCGGTATTCAAAAATCGAAGTCCAGAGCCCGACAAGTTTTTTACTGGCCCAACATATCAAAAGACATTGAAGACTTTGTTTCAAAATGTAAAACTTGCCAAATACACCAAAAATCAAATCAAAAAGAAACCTTAAATTGTCATGTCATACCAAAATTAAGTGAAAACATTTATTTATCTAATTATCTCTTATTCTTAGACACAAAAATTATAGTTCCAAAGTCTTTAAGACTTCAAATGCTTTCCCTAATTCATGAGCTACATTTCGGTATTCAAAAATCCAAGTCCAGAGCCCGACAAGTTTTTTACTGGCCCAACATATCAAAAGACATTGAAGACTTTGTTTCAAAATGTGAAACTTGCCAAATACACCAAAAATCAAATCAAAAAGAAACCTTAAATTGTCATGTCATACCAAATGATTCAGATGATTCAGATGATTCAGATGATTCAGATGATTCAGATGATTCAGATGATTCAGATGATTCAGATGATTCAGATGATTCAGATGATTCAGATGATTCAGATGATTCAGATGATTCAGATGTTTCAGATGATTCAGATGATTCAGATGATTTAGATGATTCAGATGATTCAGATGATTCAGATGATTCAGATGATTCAGATGATTCAGATGATTCAGATGATTCAGATGATTCAGATGATTCAGATGATTCAGATGATTCAGATGATTCAGATGAGTCAGATGATTCAGATGATTCAGATGATTCAGATGATTCAGATGATTCAGATGATTCAGATGATTCAGATGATTCAGATGATTCAGATGATTCAGATGATTCAGATGATTCAGATGATTCAGATGATTCAGATGATTCAGATGATTCAGATGATTCAGAAGATTCAGAAGATTCAGATGATTCAGATGATTCAGATGATTCAAATGATTCAGATGATTCAGATGATTCAGATGATTCAGATGATTCAGATGATTCAGATGATTCAGATGATTCAGATGATTCAGATGATTCAGATGATTCAGATGATTCAGATGAGTCAGATGATTCAGATGATTCAGATGATTCAGATGATTCAGATGATTCAGATGATTCAGATGATTCAGGTGATTCAGATGATTCAGATGATTCAGATGATTCAGATGATTCAGATGATTCAGATGATTCAGATGATTCAGATGATTCTGATGGTTCAGATGATTCAGATGATTCAGATTATTCAGATGATTCAGATGATTCAGATGATTCAGATGATTCAGATGATTCAGATGATTCAGATGATTCAGATGATTCAGATGATTCAGATGATTCAGATGATTCAGATGATTCAGATGATTCAGATGATTCAGATGATTCAGATGATTCAGATGATTCAGATGATTCAGATGATTCAGATGATTTAGATGATTTAGATGATTTAGATGATTTAGATGATTTAGATGATTTAGATGATTTAGATGATTTAGATGATTTAGATGATTTAGATGATTTAGATGATTTAGATGATTTAGATGATTTAGATGATTTAGATGATTTAGATGATTCAGATGATTCAGCTGATTCAGATGATTCAGATAATTCAGATAATTCAGATAATTCAGATGATTCAGATGATTCAGATGATTCAGATGATTCAGATGATTTAGATGATTTAGCTGATTGTGGTCATAGTTCTTATATTTCTAATTACGGTGAGATGTATATTAGAAAAGGCAACAATTTAAAAATAATTTCAATAATACAGGGTGCTCCAGGAAATTGGAATATATCAAAGTTAGGTTTTTTAATCGGGACACCCTATATTTTATTGAATTTTTGAAATATATAAAGAAAATTAGTGTAACTTTGTTAAGGGGTTGTTATATCTAGAGTCTATCATTTTTGATATATTGAGGATTTTCAAAATTTTAACGTTATTTGAAGTATCTTTCGAAACCCTTTCAAACGATGTAGGTATTCCCTATACCTATCTGTGATAGTTTTACTAACATTGTTACATTGTTTTTTTTGAAACACGAATTACAAAATAATACAAGATAATAAATTAATTTAATAGATGTTCAAAATGATGACCATCTTCTTGAATACACATTGTGATCCTTCGTTCAAACGAATTTCTTACTCTTTTTAGCATATCCGGCGTAATAGTTGCAAATGCATTCTTAATTCGTTCCTTCATATCTTCTGGCGTGGTTGCTGGGGTATTGTACACAAGACTTTTTATGTAACTCCATAAAAAAAAGTCTGGGGGTGTTAAACAGGGTGATCTAGGTGGCCAATGGCATGGGCCTCCTCTTCCTATCCATTTATTAGGAAATTTCCGGTCTAAGTAATTTCTCACGTCCCGCACAAAACGAGAAGGAGCACCATCTAATTGTAGCCACATTTGTTGCCATACGTTCAATGGTATATCTACGAGAAGCAGCCAAAAATCTGAACGAAGGAACATCAAAAAACTTTCTCTCCAACAATCCCCCCCATAAACATTTATGCTCTATCTGTTTTGTCGGTCAATAGTTCTAAATATGTGCCGTTTTTTTTGTATCATAGTAATGGAAATTATTGCGATTTACTAAGCCATTGTTATGGAAAGTGGATTCGTCTGTAAATAAGACAAAATCGAAAAAGTCTCTATTTTCTCCTACCACAAAATAATACCTATTGGAAACAATTTAAATTAAAATGACATAAATTGACAATCAATGCTCAGACACCTTGATTAACTAAATTTAATGAATTATTTACATAAATTATAAGAACTAGACTATTCTCTAAAACAACAACATACATATAGGTATAGGGAATACCTGTGTATATTGTTTGAAAAGGTTTCGAAAGATATTTCGAATAATGTTAAAATATACTGGGAGTTCTATTTAAAATAATGAAGTTTTTGGTGTTTAAATCTACGTAAAATAAATATCTATTTCGTAAACACCCTATACGATATTTTTGATCAGTAAGTATTTGAGGTTACAGCCGAGAAGACGCTTAATGTACCTTAAAAAAATCATTTTGAAATTATTAAGAAATGTAGGATATATTTGCAGTTTTTAAACACCCTAAAATTTTGAAAATCCTCAAATATATCAAAAATGATAGACTCTAGGTATAACAACCCCTTAACAAAGTTACACTAATTCTGTCCCGATTAAAAAAACCTAACTTTGAAATATTCCAATTTCCTGGAGCACCCTGTATTATTGAAATTATTTTCAAATTGTTGCCTTTTCTGATATACATCTCACCGTAAAAACCGTTTTTTTTTAAAAAGTTTAGTTTTGGATATACAGATCGAGGCGTTACCGGTGGACCACCCTGTATAATATCTTTTTTCTATTTTTCTTGGTTTTGTAATACTTTTCAATTAAATAACAACTGTGACTTCATTTCTTTGTAATTTGTCAAAATGAATATTTACTCCTAAAGCTCTGGAATTTAATATGGACCTCATTACTCTGTGTTGAAAGACCACAGACAGATCCGTAGAACGGCATCGAGTAAAAAGAGCAAGATGAGGTACTTTCTAAACGTAGCACTTGTAGTTTGTTTTCCTGTACTTTAGAAAAATACAATTTATAAAAAAGAGTTTGTTGTATTATTAACCGACTTCAAAAAAGGAGGAGGTTATCAATTCGTCGCGATATTTTTTTTTTATGTATGTTCAGCGATTATTATTTAACACGGTGTCCGATTTCAATGATTCTTTTTTTGTTAGAAAGGGGGTACTTCAGAGGTGGTCCCATATCAATTTAGTTAAGATCTAATAATTGGGTCCATGAGAAAATCCTCACTCTTCATTTTTTATGTATATTTAGCGATAATGCTTTACCACCTTGTCCGATTTATATGATTCTTTTTTTTCTGTTAGTAAGGGGGTACCTCACGGGTGGTCCCATATGGCATCTGCACGTTTTTGAAGTCGGTTTTTTTTAATTTTTAATTTCTAATACTTGTTTTTCCAAGTTTATTAATATTCACTATAATTTTCAAGTTTTTTTTTTTATCTAAATTTACAAGAGTATTAAAAACTATGTTCACTACGTATATTAAACTATGATAAAAACTTCCTTCATTAAAATTAATTATTTGTATGATAAAACATTTGATGTTATTGGAAGCTTTTTGTTCCTCCTGTAAATTTGTATAGAAAAACTTTTATTTCTAAATCCATGTTTGAATTTCCCGTCCTACAGCATTTTTAAATTTTCCCGCTATTTATGACTGGATTCACACAGCAACAAGAAAATAAGAAAATTGACTAGTGGCGCCATCATATACTGGTTGCCATTACAATCGTCCAAACAACTTTTGCCGAACAAAAAAAATACATTGAGTTACACGTCTCGCTGGGTTATCTCTGGGACTCAATTCTCGAGTTTTATTCCCATGGGAAAATAAAATTTTCCCATGGGAATTCAGTTTTCGTATTCTCAACAAAAGCGGTGGAATATTTTCCAATGAGAAGTATGGGAAAATATTCCCCTGCTTACGAGCATTGGAAATTGTGTTTTCCAATGGGAATTGTACTAGAGTTTGCGCATTAAAGTCGAAAATTTGACGAAGGACTAACACATAACCAAAGATTTTCGGATATCTTGGATTTTTGGTGAAATTGTAGTTAAAACATTTTTTGGCGTATTTATAGATTTTTACTTGTTTGTACTTATTATTTAAGTTGATTGATATTATTTTATTTATGTAGGTATATTATTTTTACTTTTCTTTCACTAAGAAACTGTACGAACCGATTTTATTAAATCAGTTAGCAATTGTGGGAGCTGCTGAGGGACTAGTAAATAATACAAATTGAATAATGAAGCAACCCTTTCGAAAATTTTATTATTTCCGTTAACGAAGGAATTTCTTAGTTTCTCGAAACTTTCGTTGCTCTTCCGTACAAAAGCTACTTTTTCTTTTTTCAACATGTAATAAGAAAAGCTAATAATTCAATAACTTTTAATTATACAATAGAATATTTTCCCTTGTTCCTCGGTCATGCTAGCGATTGCTCGGCACGGCACCTGCTCTGGAGCGGGGGCTCGGCAGGTAACAGGTTGAGGTTACCCATAAACCACAACAAATACCGATAATGCCAACAGTAAATTTTAAAATATCTTTAATGTTATTGGTTGTTTCGAAATATTCGTGGACTTAATATCAGACATACGTGAAACTACTATTTCCATGGGAATGTCTATTCCGACAAGTTCGAGAATTGCATAACCTATTACCATGGGAATATATGTAGTGGAATCTTTTCCCATGGGAAAATTTTCCAATGAACTCGAGAATCCAGCCCCTGGTAGTGTTAACTCCTTTAGATTTATTCGCTCGCTTTGACTGTCGTCTCTTGGTATTCTTATTGTTTGCAAAACAAGAAACTTTTGTTACTGACAATTATAGATACATAAATAAATGACAAATATTTAAAAATTAAAAAATGTATATTACAATTTAAATTACAATCAGAATATAATTATGAAGCAGTCAAAAATATAAATATAAAAAATAAAAGTATAGGTGAATAATATCAAGTGGGGATCAACATTTTTTTTCTTTGTTCATCTTCTAGCAATGTTTTATTTTTTTATATTTGATCAGTTTTTAAAAAGGATTTTCATCATAAAGAAAATCAAAATTGTTTAATCAAATTCACCAGTTGAAGAAGAAACAAAATTGTTCATGGGAATGTTGTCAAATTGCACTTTCTTGTATTTGGAATAAAGCAATTCCCTCAGTTCTATTGTGTGACTATAATCTCTGGTTTCACACACGACTTTAACCTGTAACAAAAAATAAAATAATCGATTATAGAATAAAATTTTAAAAGCAATACCACATAAGATTATTGTTATTACATAAATATAGGTGCAACTAGTTTTGGCCTCAATGTGCCATCTTCAGGCCTGTAATACAAAAATCTTAAAATAAATAGAAAGTTGATAGTAATGATTGTAAATTTAGGTAAAAAGTATAAGCAAATATATATCACAATTCCTAAGACAAAAATAAGCCAATTTAAGTAAACGTATCTCAGTACAAAGTTGCTCAGATTGGGCGCTAGAAGTTACAATTTTCAAATCCTTTCTCCATTATAAATTTAAAATGACTCATGGGATTTTACTTAAATTGACAGAGTTTTATGTGCTAAAAGAAAACGTATCAAAATTATGACTACACTGAAAATAATAAATACCCACCGAGATCGATTTTAATTAGGTATTTGATCTATTTAGTAAAACTGAGGATTACTAGAATTACTTTACTGGTATTAATATTATTACTATGATGATGTAAAATGAGCGTACAGTTATTAATTTTGCAGATGATCAGTATAATGTTTTTAAAATTAGTGTGATAATTTTAGTGATTGTAATAATCTGTTTAATAATTATTAACGTCTAAAGAATAACTTAACTACTTCTGGATAATATATAGATGTTCACAGTTATAAAATAAATTTCTAAACCAATTACTTTTTTAATTAAATTAATGCTAGAACGATTGAATTTCCCATGTAAAATCTTCCATCCCGAGAGCTCTTTCTGGATTTAGTCAGTTATAACGCTGATGTAGTCCTAGTTTGTTGGCCATTTTGTATAAATTTATAAAAGTGTGGTATGTGTATATATAAACCTAAAGTGTAATGGTAGGTAATAATTATAATAAGTTTTTTAATTATTTATAAAACAAATCATATTCGCAGACGTTATTTTTATTTTTGGAACGAAACATCCAGAAACTGGAAGATCATATTGATGATATTTACTTAAAAATTATATACTAAGTTAATTTATAATTTTCCTCAATCATCAGTATGCCAAAGTTTATAGTTTTTGTGAGTATTTAAATAGCCAGAAAAAAGTAAACAATTAATATTTTAGATTCTAACCTCTTTATTTATCAATGATACTGTCATGCGAGCCAATTTCGAATAGTCTGGTCTTGCTCTAATACCTTAAGTCCATCTCTGTCCTATTTAGGCCTCTTACGGCCTCCATTTTTCGTTACCAAGAATATTCGATATATTTCAAGCTAGAAGTATCATAATTGTTAAAATATTTTTCACGACGAGTAGTTCACGTTTTTCCGAAAGTAATATCTCGTTTATTATTTATACACTGCCTTTGGCTCTTAATACAACCATATAATATAGGTTTCTAGTTTTGGCTAAAAATATATCATCAGAAAATGTAACATATGGTCTTGGGAAATGTTAACAAATTGTTAACAGTAATGGTACTAAAAATGTACCATTTTTAATTTAACTTAACGGGCATGTAACAACAAAATGGTTGAACATAAAGAATAACAACTCTCATCTTAATATTTTGAGAACTATTTAATAATAAAATTAAATCATTATACCGGGTGGACAAAATAATAGTTTAGATAATAGATAGACCTTAAATAGATATACGCCAACACAATAAGTAGATCAAATATTTTCTTTTTACAAAATTCGATTTTTTTTTTTTGAAATTAGCAATTACATGGAGAATCCAAAAATTATAAAAATGCAAAACTAGCCTTACAGGCTTACATTCTTAGGTCATGATCGAAACAGATGTTTTGAGTAAGGTAAGTTCAGTTGTAGGTGTCAATGTATATCTACTACAGTTCATCAAATTTCTAGAGGTGTTCGACGCCCAGACAGAGAACGCGCTACGTGTGACTAAGATAGCTATTGTACAGTCTGCTAAACAAGTTATTTTAAATAGTTTTTAATATTTTTAGGTAATTAAATTTTAAAAGTATGGAATAGTTTAGGGATTAAATTGGTCTAATTGGACTTTCTTAGAACGTTTTTAAAAGCAGCTAAAGATAGTATGTAGAATTGAAAATAATTATTATGCCATAAAAGGTGTTTTGGAATTTCTTCAACCTTTTGAAATTGAGTCAGAAAATATAAATTTTATAGGATAGCGGAAAATACCTATAATTTTTTTGTAGGCCTTTGTAAATCGTGGAAATAGTTTATATTTTATTTCTACCTTATTAAGGAAAATGGTACCTATTATTAATAACGGTTGTTTCTGAAACATTACTAAAATTTTCGAAATTTTGTTTTTCTACAAAATAATAAACTATACTATTTAGAAAAAAATTTATTTCTCTTATAATTTTATAAAAAATAACAGTGGAATATTTACATTTCTTGATCTATTAAACAAAACGATAAATTATCTCGACGAATGACACCATGTTCTAGTACGGAAGCTAGCTTTACATTTTTGTTGGTGGTTTCATGGGTTTCATATCAATTTTTTGTAATTGTAGTTTACACGTACATATACCTCTTAACACTTGTTTGCTTTATTAAAAAAAGTGTGTTGTTGTGATTTACGTCGAAATAAGTCAAAAACAACTTGAAACCTCATATAAAATCAAAAAGGAGAAACGGAAAAAAATTGAGCCTGTAAATGAACACAACTCAGAAACAAAAATAGCTATCTAATAATAAAAAAATAAAATTTGATTCTTGTCCATCTTCGTTGTAAAAATAGATAATACTTTTTTGATTTTAGGTACAGATATAATTTTAATGGTCTTCCGAAAAACTTTCTTCAGTTTCCATATCAGATTCAAAATCAGTCTCACCTCACTGTCACTGTTTAAGTTAATTATAAATCTATCAGTTGCCTCATCCAAAGTAACTTCTCTGTCATAAAATTTAGATTCCCACATTTTAGCATTATTACAACGAGATTGCCACTCCTCTTTAGAAAACGTATCAAAAAAGTCTTCACACAACAGTTGTACGTCTTGCCTCTTAAATGTAGTGTTGTTACTAGCTACATATTGTTTCAATGATGCCCACACTAATTCGATCGGGTTAAGATCGGGATGATACGGTGGCAAACGCAAACAACTAAAACCATGTTCATTTATCATTTCTTCAATTGCATACCTCTTAAATCGTGACTTATGCAATAGCACTAAACTGTATAATTGCGTTTTGAGCATATCCTCTTCGTAAGCAATATTATGATTCCTTAACCAATCCTGCATGTCAGCTTTTTTAGAAGTTGACGTTGGTGCTTTATTTACCTGGACATTATGGTAAGGAGCATTATCAACAATAATGACGCTTCTTGGAGGGAGGTTCGGAAACAGCTTTTCTTTCAACCATTTAGAAAAATTATTAAAATTCATTTCATCGTGGTAGTCTCCACTTTTGGTTCCAGATTTGAAAATTAACCGGGCATTCGGAATAAAGCCCATTTCACGTCCTGCATGGACAATAATTAGTCTGTCACCTTTATTAATTGGTTTCTTTAATCCCTCATTTGAATTATCACTCCAAGCTTTCTGGTGTGTGTGTGGGAGGCATGAATATATGTTTTATCTAAGTAGACAATTGGACGGCCCTCTGCTCGATAACTTTTTAAACGAATCAGATAGTCTAAACGTAGCTTTTGAATATCAAACCTTTCCATTAATATGTTTCTGTTTGTTTTTGTTTTCCGCCAACGAAATCCTAGCGACTTTATTATTTTTCTTAAACTTTCATAGCTTCCTTTGTACCCTGTAGCTTCTCTAAATTTAGTCAGAATTGTTTTTAATGTTGGAACAATATTTTCCGAGATTAACATGAACAGAATAATTCTTTTTAAAATACCTTTGTCAGCTTCATCTATATCATTAACTGTTTTTGGTTTTTTAATGGTTTTTCTTGGTGATGAAAATTCCGATATCTCACGGTTATCGATTCTTTTTTTCTCTCCAGAAATGCGGACGACAGTGTTTTTAGATACTCCTGTGGCTGCAGCAACACGATCATTTACATTTTTAAATGGTATTGAAGGTGAATTAAAGTTTCCTTCTCTTCTTATAAACTCTATAACATTGGCTATTATTTCGCGAGATTGACTGTTAATCACGCGGCCTCTTAATTTGCTATTAAACTCCATACTTAGGTTCTATTAAACTGTAATGAGCAAAAAACACAAACGAAAATAAAAGAAATGTTTTAGCGAAATTTACATCTGACATTTACGTCTGAATAAAATAGTAAAATACTTGATGCGCAGAGTGTACTTTCATTGCGTAAATCCGTCGGCCCCGCCAACCGATGCCTCTCAGTAGTGCTTTCTCTGTCTAGCCGTCGAAAGCCTCTAGAAATTTGATGAACTGTAAATACGACCATTATTTAATAAAAAAAATGAATTGAATTAATGATTTTGATATTAAAAATACAGCATTTACTGTATTTGATTAATGTAATGAGTTATTAGCCGAGAATAACGATCAAGGAGAAGCGACTGTAGCTGTCGGTGCCTTTGATATCGGATGTACCTTTTTCACAGCATGACTTTGATTGATACACAACTTAGCACGCTGAGAAAACATGCTTATTTTCTATACTGAGCGAAATAGTTTGGCAAATTATCTGAAATCATTGTTATAGTTCATGCGCAAATGTTGTAATGTGATTTAATTACATTGAAGTAGTTAGGGTTAATAGCAATGGTGAAATTTCGGCACCAAAATATAATTCATTATGTAATAATTAATTATTTATTATAAAAGTAAAAGACGTTTATTATTTTATAATTTATCTATAAAATTTGTTCAATATTTGGTTTATTTATTGTTAAAAATGTAATAAAAGCCCCATATTTAAATTAAATTACCTTTTCCTTAAGTAAAAATAAGGTAAATAAAACTAAGGGTGCCAAAAAAAAATTAGGTAACAATTAAAAAGACATTAAGTTTGAAGTATTTAACTAAATATTTGCAATGCGCTTATATTTTCAAAAACTTTTAGGTTTAATAAGTTACATATTTTTAGAATTTCTGGATTTATATTATATTAAAAGGACTTTCAAGTTTATCACTCATTTCTGTATAAACAAGTGTTTTCTCGCCAAGTTAAGCCAGATGTCACTTAAGGTTTATGTATTTAGAGTTAAATACCTGACCTGGCTATCACCCAGACAATACAAATATGTCCATTGGACGTCCATTCGATATACAATTTTGGATGTCTAGACGTCCAAGAATGAATTTTTTCTGGACTTCCGACATCCAATAGACGTCCAGTGAAGTATACAAATGGAACACTTTTGACCATTCAGAGGACGTTCAATTCTGGAATATATTTGGACGTCGAATACTGAACATTCAAAAAACGTCCAGGATTATATTTCCATTGAGACCACATCCCCACTTTTTTTACAGAACCGCAACTTACCATACACTATTTTATATTATTAATAATTTGTTTATTATTTTCGCAAACCGCCCCAACAAACAATCAATTGCCGGGATATTGCTGGCCTTTTGCTGTAATTGAAGGGAAAATGAATGCGACGATTAAAAGATAAAAGCCTACTTTTGGCCTTTTCGATAGTGGCCCAGCATTATGTTGCTTGATGATGGCCTTATGAAGAGTAAGTAACTATATTGGGTAAAAGCATGGTAAAAGTCAAAAGGTTATTAACTGCCGCTAACAGTCCAGGAGGACCCCGTCCCGCGTTCATAGATGGAGACACCGATGATCGCTTGTTACATACTCAACGAGTGGACATGCGGGCCAGTCTCGTATTGCTGGTATTCAGTATGTTAATTTAGAATATTTTATTAATAATTTCTTTGAAGAAGACATTTTTTCAGTATTATCATATTATATAGCTGAATTAAATAATATTTCTACAATATTCTATATTGAAATGCCTTCTGTTTTTGCATAGATATTATAGTTCAAACGGTGTACTACTGGTCAAAGGACACTATCAAATATTCTGTGATCATGT